CCTCATTTTCACTTTAGTCTTCAACCAGGTTTTCTTCAGAACTGTTCATATGTCTTTCGTCTGATCATCTTCTTCAAGTTTTCTGATTTCATTTTTTAAACAATTTATAGTTTCGCGACTTGCTTTTAATCTCTCCTTAAGCTCTGCAATTTCAAAGCTTGTTTTTTTCTTGGCAGCTTCTAATTTTTCTCTGGTTTTCACTTAAGTTCTGCAAATTCTGTTTCGTGTTTATAGGCTCCTAATGTTAGTTGACGAGATGTTAATAATTGCTGCATCATTGCTGTTGGGTCTTGAAATATCATTTCATCATAGAACTCTGAAACCACTGTCTTTTTCCCTAGCATTGCATTGGTGTCCGATTGAAACAGCTTTAATAAATGATACAGGGTTACAGGTCTTTCATTAGGGTCAATGAAAAATATTTTGATGATTATTTCAAATTCACCCCATCCCGTTTCAGTAATTTCATATGGAGGCTTAGTAACAACTGAAGAGGGAAAAACAAAAAAAAACAAAAACCATTATAAATGACCAATTTAAGTTTCTCAGTTGTTTTTAAGTTTGCATACTTTGAATTGAAAGATTATACAGTACCTCTTAAAGGATTGCCATAGCTTTCATGTAACTTAAACTGGATTTTCTTCACATATGCTGACATATCCTAAAATATAGAGGAAAAAAAAATAACACTGAGCATATATGTACCGAATTTTATAAAACACACTTTTCCTACATTTTTTTAAAAAGAATTATTTTATTTAACTTTATTTATCCATTTATTTATTTTTATTTTGACCAGAGAGGGACAGAGTGAGAAAGTGAGTAAGAGAAAGAGAGTCGAAGGAGTGCGAGTCACCCCGGCCCGAGGCGTTGAGTGACCGCCAACTCCTCCACGTGGGCGGCGTCCCCAAAGGCCATTCAGCCGCGCGGGAGAAGAGAGAAGAGCGGGCGGGGCGACGGCGACGCCGTGCCGACAAATTTTTTTTAATAAACTGCATGATAACGTATGATGTTTATTTTCATATATATTTCTATTTGCTTACCCAAAATTATGCTGTAATAAAAAATTGAAAATTCTTCTTTATTTAAACTTTTTAAAAGATGCTTTTGCTATAGGGTGCATGCACTCACCAGAAAGACAGAGAGAGACAAAGGCAGAAAGCGAGAAAACCCCCCCTCCCCCAGGGGGATGGCCACACTGCAATCCCTTCTCCTTCATTCTTCTCTTGGGATCTTGGACATGCATGCATACACGCCTGGCGTGAGTTTAAGCCACCAGGTCTGGGACTCGAACTGCGATTGACTTCATGGGAGTCCAGCAACATAGCCATTATGCCCATTGCTGGTCCCAAAAATTCTTCTTTTTCAGTGAGGATATTAAAATAGAAAGATACTTATAGCTTCTCCCAAAGAATTCACACAACCAGAGGAAAGAAAACAAAACATAACTCTTGTTCGTGCTTTAACCCTATTAGATTTCTCTCTCTCACTCTCTTTCTCTTTTTTTAATGTGTAGCTTTTGTGGTCCTCATGGGCCTTGATTCTGGAGCCTAGATGTCTTAATAATTGACTTATGCTTTCTTCTCTCTGAGAGGAACTAATTCCCAAAAGATAAGAGAATTCTCAATGCTGCAATTATTTGAAAAGTTTACACTGCTATACCAAAACCCAAACTGTTATGGATAACTACTGTTGATAGCTTACCAGGGATTCCAGGTGGCTCATGGTCTTTCCTTATGTATTCAGGGCAATCCACATCTTTAAAAGCATGCAAGCATCTAAGAGTTTAAAAGAGAGAATATTCTGTGGGTCACTGCCAGCAGTAACTTTGCATAAGCATAGAATGTAGTTATTGGAATTATTTTGGTTTTGGCAGAGTAGGATTTGGAAAATTCATCTTGTTTCTCTTGAGAAATCAACTACTGAAGTAAAGGAGAATTTTTTTAAGAATTATTTAACTTTATTTATTTATTTATTTTAATTTGACCAGAGAAAGACAGAAAGAGAGAGAGAGAGAGCGAGTGAGAGAGAGAGAGAGAGAGCGAGTGAGAGAGAGAGAGAGAGAGCGAGTGAGAGAGAGAGAGAGAGAGCGAGTGAGAGAGAGAGAGAGAGAGCGAGTGAGAGAGAGAGAGAGAGAGCGAGTGAGAGAGAGAGAGAGAGAGCGAGTGAGAGAGAGAGAGAGAGAGCGAGTGAGAGAGAGAGAGAGAGAGCGAGTGAGAGAGAGAGAGAGAGAGCGAGTGAGAGAGAGAGAGAGAGAGCGAGTGAGAGAGAGAGAGAGAGAGCGAGTGAGAGAGAGAGAGAGAGAGCGAGTGAGAGAGAGAGAGAGAGAGCGAGTGAGAGAGAGAGAGAGAGAGCGAGTGAGAGAGAGAGAGAGAGAGCGAGTGAGAGAGAGAGAGAGAGAGCGAGTGAGAGAGAGAGAGAGAGAGCGAGTGAGAGAGAGAGAGAGAGAGCGAGTGAGAGAGAGAGAGAGAGAGAAGCGAGAAAGCAAGCTGCCAGGTCCAAGACCTGAACTGCAGTCTGCTGTGTGGTAGTCCAGCACCCTTAACCACTGTGCCATTTGTTGGCCCCAAGAAAAGGACAGTTTTAAAAATATAGCAATGAGGAAAATAAGACACTTTATGAGTTTTCAATACTTGTAGTTTCTACATAGGAATTAATTACTTCGTATTTACTCTTTCTAGAAGTAAAATAATAAAAAAGAGGAAAACATTGGAATTTTGCTGTTTCATTGTTAACAGAATCTGACAAATTGCCAATTACAAGGTAAAAGTAACTTTTGAAAAATGTAAGTTTCTGATAATAAATCACAAACTGTCTACTTGTTTTTTGTTTACTCTGGGAAGAACATCTTTTTCCAGCTATAAGTGTCTTCAGCCATTAATTTATTAGTTTTTAAATATTATGTTTACAATATTTATGATTTAAATTTATTAAACATATACTCTGATTTTGCATGGTCATTGTTCTTCAATGTTCACCTAAAATAAATGTAGATTGATTAATTTCCATTTTCCAATACAGAGTGTCATACTGACAATACATGGGAAACAAGTTGAATTTGACCTTAAGGAAGTTATTGAAAAGTGAAGAATAACTAATAACTAATATTAATATTACATATGCTGTTGGAATAAATTTGATAGTAATAAATAACAAAAATTATTAGAGATCAATAAAAAGCATAGAATATTTCAGAACTACTTCTTTCTTTCATTATTTACATATTTTGTGTACCCCCAGATTTTAAATATGATCTGATTTTAAATCTTGCTTCTTTATAATGTAATTATTTGCATTAATTTGATTAATTTTTAAATTAAGATTCGAAGTAAAAAAGCAATTCACTAAATTAATTGCTTAAGTTTTATGTGGTTGGTGGATATTTTATTTCCAATATTTATATAGTCTTCAACAATAATAATGTTATACCACTTTTCTCTTAGTCATCTCTCTTAGACAAAATATTAAATTTCTTTCATATGTATTTATTAACTTTAAACTTTTAAGGTTTTCTGATTCCTACCCTTTACTTAGGCTGGTTTGTCCAAAAAAATTTCATGCACATATTATAAACTTTCAAGCTAATTAGCATGAATTATTTTGTTGTAAATTATAGGACTGGTCACTGAAAAGTGTAATAAAAATGGTAATGGCTAACATTTATTGAATATTTACTCTACCATAAATGGTGCTAAGTGATTTACATGCATTACTTATTTTGTATCCTCAGGAAAACTTTAAGGTTATATATTTTTTTACCCCCCTTCTATATGTGAAGACATTGTGGGATAGAAAATATAAGAAACTAGTTCAAGGTCCCATTTAGGAAGTGAGAAGCAGAAATGAAACTTAGGTTTATCTCAGTCTAAAACTCATGTTCATCACTGAGTATTAAATAGCCTTCATGTTTTCCCCTAATTCTGCATGCTTAATTATCATTCAACTTTTATTTATATAAAGTCAATATTTCATATAAATGCATATTGATTTTTGGCATTTGCAAGACACAGAATATTATTCTCAAAATATATGGACAGAAAGTTGAGTTTGATCTTAAGGAAGTTATTGTTAGATCAGGAATAATTAATCTTCAATGTTAATACTGAATTATAGCAGTAATAACTACTGTACTTAAAAAGATGTTTGACCCAGGTAGGAGAATTAGGGAATTTGTGTGAAGATAAGACATTTTAGCCAAACTTTAAGGTACTAGTAGAAATAACTCAGGTACAGGAATGAGAAATGTTATAACAGATGAAAGGGTTTAGAGATTAATTGTTAATAATGATTAGGAGAATAGATTCTGTAACCAAGATTTTTGACTTCAAATCTTGACTATGAACATAGTAGGTATCAACAAACTGAATTTCTCTGTATCTCAGTTTCTTCATCTGTAAACTTGGGAATAAGATGTACTCAGCTCATATTATTATTGCACAGATTAAGCAAACTACTATGACCTTACTTAGAAAAGGGTCTGGCGTATAGAAAGTGCCACATAAATGTTTCTCATTATTATCACTGCCCAGACACCATCATGCACCTCCCTGACGAAAAAGTTGGTTTCTCTCAAAATAGACTATTTTGTTAATGAAAAACTTCAAAATCTATTTCAGTTGTCTAAATGATTAATGGTTATGAAAGTTGTATTCTGAGAAAATAATACTGTGATCAACTTTTTCACATCTTTTTTCCTTTCTGAAGTAACTCTCTTACCTATACTTCTTTTAGACCTCTTCTTAAGTGACTATGAACTGTGGGCTAGGGAAGTTTTCTTTATGGAAAGGTTTTGATGACCCATGTGGGACAGAAATCCTAGAATGCAAGTAGTAATAAGTTTTGGGTTTAGTCATACACATCTTTTATCTTAGTGGGTATATAAATTACATCAGAATTGTTTCTATTACCCACCAAAATAGTTGGACCTCATAAGTAGCTTTTAACGTTTAGTCATTCTCTTTATAACTGGTGGCATTCTTTTTTTTTTTCTTCTCTTTTAAGGTTTTTTATCATAGGGCATGTGCTTTTGCTGAAGAGATAGAGACAATGACAGGAAAAGTGAGAAATCATGCCCAAGGGGTGATAGCCATGCCCAATTCCTTTCCGCCATTGTCTTCTTGGAATTCTGGGTGCATGCACACACACACAGACATACAGACACACACATACACTCACACCAGGTGTAATTTTCAAGCTGCCAGGTGTGAACACCACACACACACACACACACACACACACACAGGGTGTGATTTTTGTGATGCAAGGTCCAGGAGTCCAGCACTTTAACTACCACAACCTGCTGGCCCCAAGTTTTCTAACTTGACTACTAAAGCTCTTGATATTGCCAACCCCCTACTACTCCAAATTGCTTCCTAAATGCCATTTATTAAGTCATGCTCTCCTTCAGCCATCTGTGTATATCATGAGGTGGAAATGTATAGACAACTTGGACTAGAAAACATAAAAGCTATTTTGCTAGGAAGGCATTGCAGTAGATACAGTGACAAAGGACCTAATTCTACTACGTGCAGTAATTAAGAATTAAAACTAATCTTTGGAATCATCATATGTCGGTTAGCTTCAATTTAAGTCAAAATATTTCTTTCTTTTTTCTTTTTTTTGCTATAGGTTACATGTACTTGCCAGAGAGACAGAGAGAAGGCGAGACAATGAAAAATCACCCTAAACCAAAGGGGATGGCCATGCTGCAGTCTCTTCTCCTCTAATTTTCTCTTGCCATTTTTTTTTGTTTGTTTTGTTTTGTTTTTCTTTTTTTGGAGAGGATTTTTGCTATAGGGCACGTGCGCTTGCCAGACAGACAGAGAGAGACAGAGAGACAGAAAGTGAGGAATCGCCCCCCAGGGGGGATGGCCATGTCGCAATCCCTTCTCCTCCATTCTCCTCTCAGGAGCTTGGGCACGCATGCACACGCGCCTGGAGTGTCTGAGACTCGAACCACGGTCGACTATGTGGGAGTCCAGCAACATAGCCATTACACTAACTGCTGGTCCCTTGCCATTTTGAGCACACATGCACATGTGCATGGTCCAGCACTTGAACCATATACTTGGCCATGTGGAATCCAGTTGCCTTAACCACCATGTCATTGGCTGGCCCATGTCACAGTATTTCTGTGAGGCTAAAATGAATAATAACTACAGAACAACGTTTTAAATTCTAACACTTTAAGAGAATATTTGTAACCCTAGGATCAAAGCCGAGAGTTCAGTTGTTTATTTTGGTTTGTACCTTTCAACAGGTCTCTCCATGGGTGAAAGAGGAACAAGTAATCACTCAGAAATGACGGATTTTATTCTTGTAGGCTTCAGGGTTCGCCCAGAGCTCCATGTTCTCCTTTTCCTGCTATGTCTGCTTGTATATGCCACGGTCCTTTTTGGGAATGTTGGGATGATGGCCATTATCATGACTGATCCTCGGCTGAACACACCCATGTATTTCTTCCTAGGCAATCTCTCCTTCATTGATCTCTTCTACTCCTCGGTTATTGCACCCAAAGCTATGATCAACTTCTGGTCGGAGACCAAGTCCATCTCTTTTGCTGGTTGTGTGGCCCAGCTCTTTCTCTTTGCTCTTTTCATTGTGACTGAGGGATTTCTCCTGGCAGCCATGGCTTATGATCGTTTCATTGCCATCTGCAACCCACTCCTCTACTCTGTTCAGATGTCAACACGTCTCTGCATTCGATTGGTAGCTGGCTCCTATTTTTGTGGCTGCATCAGTTCAGTTCTTCAGACCAGCATGACATTTACGCTGTCCTTTTGTGCTTCTCGGGTCATTGACCACTTCTATTGTGATAGTCGCCCACTTCAGAGATTATCTTGTTCTGACCTTTTTATACATAAAATGGTGTCTTTTTCCTTGTCTAGCATTATTATCTTACCTACTATGGTAGTCATTATTGTTTCCTACATGTATATTGTGTCCACAGTTCTAAAGATACGCTCCACTGAGGGACGTAAAAAAGCTTTCTCTACCTGCAGCTCTCACCTGGGAGTTGTGGGTGTTCTGTATGGTGCTGTCTTTTTTATGTATCTCACTCCTGACAGGTTCCCTGAACTGAGCAAAGTGGCCTCTTTATGTTACTCTCTAGTCACTCCTATGTTGAATCCTTTGATTTACTCTCTGAGAAACAAAGATGTCAAAGAGGCTCTAAAAAAACTTCTTGAGAAAAAAAATGCTATTTTTTGATTATTTTTCTTCCACCAGTTATATCGTGCCTACTTATCTTTTAATTCTTGTGGCCATTAATGAAAGAGTGTGTGTATGTGCACCTAAAATCCAACAGGATGGAAAGACGGAGCAGCTGGCATGACCACGCCCCATTGGAGGGGTGCTCTTTTGTCTTCCTCTCTGCTGAGTCACGCGTGTGTGTACACACGCAAAGTACAATGGGAGATAGATATATGCAAATATTTTTGAGCAATCGTACCTTCAGTGTGGATCCTCATAATTTATTCTTGTGTTAATTATTCCTAAGGAATATCTAATAAAGGTATAAAAACTAGGGACTCATAAAAATAAAGTGCGATCCTAAATTTATTCACTTATGCCTCTGAATGTATTTGTTTACTGGGTTAATCTGATCAAATACCTGTCTATGATTTTCTGGTCTCATAGTGGGCTCAGGGACAAATAATTCCAATCTTGAGGGAGTTTTACAATTTGATGAGGGAGCCAAATTCTTGGACAGGTGATTAAAATCAAGGGAATTGTGCCAAAGATACTTGTAGAGGTCACAAAGTGTGGGTTCTGAATGTAGGTGGTTGGTAATTTAGGAAACTCATGTTGGTCTGTGTGGAAGACAGATTTAAAAGGGGTAAGGTTGGAGTCAGGGAAACTGCTAGAGTGGTTCATATTATTAATACAGCCTTAAAATATGCCTGTATAATGGAAAAAGGCAGGTTTGAAAAATTGCTGGTGAAATACAAAGAATAATATTGACTAGTTAGCATGAGAACACTACAAGATGAAGTATATTCCCATTTTTAACTTGAGTGAGTGTGTGTAGTAATGGCACAGATAAAAAGTAAAGGAATAATCTGAAAACTAGGAATGAAGGATAAGTTTTGACAACTTTATAGAAAACATTTATAAAAACCTTCAGCTAACATCACACTTGATGAGAAACCAGAAGTTTTTCTGTTACGATTAGGAATAAGGTGAAGTTGTTTCCTTTCTGCACTTTTTCAACATTGTATATGAAGTTCTAGATAAATTAAGAAGACAAGGAAAGAAAATAAAAATGTTTGGGGCAGAATTACATTCCCTAAAATTTGTATGTTGAACCTCTAACCCCTTCTGCCTCAGAATAAGATTGTTTTTAAAAGTAGGGCCTTCATAGAAGTAATCAAGTTAAAATAAGGTCATAGAGTATATCCTAATGTAATCTAGTGGGAATCCTTAAAAGAAGAAAAGGTTATGACACACAGAGAAATATCAGGATGCATGTACATGAAGGGATGACCATGTGAACAGATAGCAAAAGAGTGGCCATATGGAAACCAAGGAAGGAGGCCTCAGAGCACACCAACCCTGCTGGCACCTTGATCTTGGGCTTCCAGCCCCCATAAAAGTAAGAAAATAAATTTCTGATGTTTAAGACATCTAGTCTTTAGTATTTTGTTATGGCAGGCCCAGAAAATCCATACAAATAGGTGTACAAATTGGAAATGAGAAAATAAAGCTGTCCTTGTTTGCAGATGATATGATTGTCTATGCTGAAAATTCAAAAGAATAAACAGCAACAATAAAAACCTTCCTAAAACTAAAAGTAGTCATAGCAAGATTGCTGGATATAAAATTAATATACAATAGTCCATATCTTTGCTTTATGCCAGCAATGAACAAGTAGATATTGCAATCAAAAATAGTAGTAGAGGTAAAACCAGCAAAAAGTAGAATAGAAAAATCTCAGCTCTGTTTCCCTCACAAAAACACAAATTTAGTCATATATGGACCCAAATCTCGGAATCTACTTGAGAAATTGCAATAACTCTAGACAGTTGAAGAGCCAAGAAAAGACACATTGAAATGGACAAGAAGGGTTTTACTTTACCCACTTTAGGTACTCACCCTGGCTGGCACAGCTCAGTGCTGGGACAGCATGTTGGTTTGACTTCTCCCTTAGAGGAGAGATGAGTGGAGAGTGTGTCTAACATTCTGGCTTTTCAAGGAGGTTGCCTAGAAGAATTAATTTTTGCCTCACCATATTCAGAATGTTATTGGAACCAATATAGTTTGGCTACTTGGAGAGTATGCTGAGAACAATTTAATGAAAAAGGGAAATGTCTTGCCTTAGCTAATACAGCTGGGAAGGATTGAGAATGTATACAACTTGAACCTTCTACCATGGAGGTAGGGAGAGGAGTACAGGGTGCATCTGATGTTCTGGTATTTTGGATGGTGATATGAGGGATTGGCATCAGTCTTGCCTCTTTCAGGGTGCTAGTGGGGAACAGTATACTTTGGATGTCTGATGACTGCTGAGATGAAAGCAGATCAGGACGGCTTGTTGTAGAACTAGAAAACTTATAGCACTACAGACACCAGATAGTGCAAGAAATTATACGCTCCTAAAAAAGAAACTGATAAGCCTTTCAAATACACTTTATGCACAGCCTTAGAGAAATAAATTCCAACCAAAAGAGTTTCTTTTCCCTAGAACCTCTAGCTGGGTGAATTGGCGAGAGTCGTCTTCTGCACAAATCCAGGCTGTAAAGACTGGAAGAGGTGGCCATTATTCCAAATGAATGGGCTCTAAAACAAAGTTATGATGGGATACATGACAATTAGGCAAACACTGCTCAAAGGGTCAAAACAAATCTCTAATAACCAATTATAAGTTGACGTAAGTATATAAATTACCTAAAATATAATTTTAAATCACCATCATGAAAATTCTCTGAGAGCTCAAGAAAATAAAGCTTGGACAAAATGAGAATATCAACAAAAAGACAGAAACATAAAAAAGAAACAAACAGGAATTTCGGAGTTAAAAAACACAAATCTACCCAAGAATATAAAATATTTTATTGGAAAGGATGTATATGGTAATATCATTGATTTGATTGTCATAAATAAATAAATAAATAAAATGGGAAAAAGAGTACAATTACTTAACTGAAAAATTTATTAGAGGAATTCAACAGACTTCTTCAAGCAGAAAAGAGTCTCAGCAACCTATAAGATGGTACATTTAAAAATTATTCAGTCAGGGAACCAGCAGTTAGCGTAATGGCTATGTTGCTGGACTCCCACGTAGTTGATCGCGGTTCGCGTCCTGGACCCAGTGGCTTAAAACTCATGCTGGGTGGGTGTGCATGTGTGCCCAAGATCCCGAGAGGAGAATGGAGGAGAAGGGATTGCGGCGTGACCATCCCCCCTGGGGGGTGATTTCTCGCTTTCTGTCTCTATGTCTCTCTCTGTCTGTCTGGCGAGCGCACGCACCCTATAGCAAAATAAACCTCTCAAAAAAACCCCAAAAAACAAAAAAACAAAAAAAAAATTCAGTCAGAGTAACAGAAAGAAAAAAAGATAAAAAAGGAATAAAGGAGAGCAAAAGGACTCATGGGACATCATATAGTATAACAGTATATGTAAAATTGAGCTCCAGAAGCAGAAGAAGGGGAGAAGCATTTTAAAATAAATAATGGCTGAAAACTTTCCAATTCTGGTGATGGAAATAGCATCCAGATTCAAAAATCCCAATGGACTCCAAATGGATAACATCAAATAAATCCATAGCGGGACCAGCAGATGGTATAATGGTTATGTTGTTGAACTCCCACATAGTCGATTGTGTTTCGAGTCCTGGACCTGGCAGCTTAAATTCACATGAAGCGCATGCATGTCCAAGATCCTGAGAGAAGAGATTGTGGTGTGGCCATCCTCTCTGGGGGAGGGGTGATTTCTCACTTTCTGTCTCTCTGTCTCTGTCCTTCTGGCGAGCCCATGCACCCTGTAGCAAAAACCTCTCTTCAAAAAAAATCCATGCTAAGATTCATAATAACAAAACTTTCTAAACTCAAGAATGAAGAGAATTTTGAAAGCAGAAGAGGAACACACAAGGGAACTTCTTTAAGATGATCTGAATTTCTTAGCAGTAACCTTGCATGCTAGAAATCAGTGAGATGATATATTCAAAGTACTAAAAGAAAAAAATTCCAACTCAGAGTATCATATCTGGAAACACCCTCCTTCAAAAGCAAAGGAGAAATAAAGACTTTCTCAGATAAAGAAATGCTGAGCAAGTTTATCACCATGAGACCTGCCTCATAAGAGATACTAAGGGGAATACTTCAAATTGAAATAAATGAACATTTAATACAAACACAAAAGTATAAGAAAGTGTAAAACTTATTGGTAAAGATCATTATATAGACAATACATCATACTGTAATACTGCAATGTTGGTGCACAAGTAAACTTTTATTCTAGATAGAAGGTAAAAGGCAGTAGATTATAAAATACCCAGAGCCAGACTGTGACCTGGTGGTTACATAAGGAAGGAAATAAAAGGAAATAAACATAGAAGACAAACAAAAGCAAATAAGAAATTAATCAGTGTATACAAATAAAAAATCAACGAAACATACTGGAAGACAGTAAATGAGGAAAACAGAGACAAAATTATAAAACAGAAACCACTTAATAAAATGGCAATGGTTTAGTTCTTCTTTACCAATAATTACTTTAAAGGTAAATTAATTAAATATCCTAATCAAAAGATACGGAGTGACTAAAAGGATTAAAAAAAAAAGGGTCACCAGGTGGTATGGAGATTTAGTTGGCTGATTCCTACATGACCAACTCTGTGGTTTGGGTCCGGGACCCAGTAACTTGAAAAACACATTGGGCACATTTGTGTGTATGTCCAAAATCCAGAGGAGAACAAAGCAGAAAAGACTGATGCAGAGTTATCCCCCTGGGGGCATTTATCACTTTCCCACTCTGCCTTTTTCATGAGCTCACTTTCCCTATAGCAAAAACTTAAAAAACAAAAAAATAGAAAAAAGATAAAAAGACAAAACAAAACAAAACAACTACCAATTTCCAACTATATGCTGTCTTCGTGAAACTCACTTTAAATTTAAGGACACACAGGCTGAAAGCAAAAGAATAATAAAATAGATATTTTTTGCAAATGGTAACCAAAAAAAGAATAGAAGTCATACATCTGTAAGACAAAA